AAAAAAAAAAAAAAAAAAAAAAAAAAAAAAAAAAAAAAAAGGTCGAAAATCATCCAAAAGCCCCATGGAAAACCCCCTCCTCTTCGATACAAAATAAATAACAAATGTTTAAAAAAAAAAAAAACCCTCAAACGGTCAAACTCATCGAAAAACATTATCGAAAAGTCTGTCTTCGATACAAAATAAATCTACTCACGAAAACAGGGAGAAAAATGCCTGTGCCTATATGCCCATATCGAACGAAACGATCGACACGAAAAAGCGTACTCAAATACCTAAAAGCCTCGACCCTCCACAGTATCTATAATAAAATCAATAAATAATAATAATATTATAATAAAATAAAAAATAAATAATATTTATATATATAACCTATATATAATATATAATAATATGTAAAAAAATAATAATAATAAATAATAACTTATACCTATAAATAATAAACCTATACCTATATGCCTACCTATTTATGCATATATCGTACTCGATCGAACGAACGATTGAGAAGAAAGAGCCTACTGGAATCGAGTATTCCCTCTACTCCCTCAACTCGACCCTCCACAGTATCGTACGTACGTACGCTGCCCTTTCCTTTCGACAATCGACAATTAGGGGGCTCTATACTATATTAGAAAAATAAATCAAATATAATATATATATTGTAAAAAAAAAAAAAAAAATGAAAGATCGAGAAGAAAAAGCCTATTCGAATTCGAGTACTCCCTCGACCCTCCACAATATTCCATCGACGAAAAGCCCCACCTATAGAAAAGCCCGTCTTCGACAGTAACAGTGACATGACACCAGCACTTTTCTTTCGACAATCGGCAATTAGGGGGCTCTATACTATATTAGAAAAATAAATAAAATATTAATATATATATTGTATAAAAAAAAACAAAAAACGAACGATCGAGAAGAAAAAGCCTATTCGAATTCGAGTACTCCCTCGACCCTCCACAGTATTTCATCGACGAAAAGCCCCACCCATAGAAAAGCCCATCTTCGACAGTAACAGTGACATGACACCAGCATATAAGCCCCCCCCCTAAAAAAAGCGGAACGATCGAGACAAAAAGCCTATTTGAATACTCCCACCCCCAAAAAAAGCGGAACGATCGAGAAGAAAAAGCCTATTCGAATACTCCCTCGACCCTCCACAGTATTCCATCGACAAATCGACTAGCATACAAGTGACACTGCCCCTTTGTTTTTCGAGACTGGTACTAAAAACAGGACCCTTCGTTTCGAGACTGGTATTGCCAGGCCCGATTCCTGACACTGAATCCCCCCGAATTACACATTTATTATTATTATTTAATAAACTTCGCTCAAAAAAAAAAAAAAAAAAAAAAAAAAAATCCAAAATAGCCAATACCCTACTGGCTATAGCCTATAGCCTATTAGCCTGTAGCGCCCTCTCCTCTTTTCCTTCAAACAAAAAAACACTCCTTCCACCCCCCATTCATTCAAACAAAATAGCCAGTAGCCTTAGCCTATTTTAGCCTATAGCCTATTTCGATCCCTCGTGTAACGACAACTTTGGCCAAAAAAAAAATAATAATAAAATTTGAACGCCAAAAGCTCCCTCGATTCGACGACTCTCTATATACCCCTCCCCTTCGAACAAGTTCCACACTCTCTCGACTCTAAGTTCCGCACTCTCTCGACTCTCTGTATACCCCTCCCCTTCGAACAAGCCTCCATATATCCCTTCGCAAAAGCCTGCTCTAAGAAATAGCCCTCTTCTCTTTTTCTTGAAAAAAAAAAAAAAAAAAACACGCCTGCACACAAAACTCTACCCTATATGTATGAGTTAACGTCACCACACTGCTCCCGAAATGTGCAAAATGAGAACGAACTTCTATCTGAGTTAGTGGGACTGAGTCTACTAACCCTGAAGAGACAATTACGTTTGCAGAAGTACCCGGCCTGGATTTTCAATAAGTGCTTGTGGAAATTTGTGCAGACGAAAGCCCCGTCATGGGAAAAATGGGGCAGGAGATTTGGGGCTTGGTAGGAACTGTTTTCGGTCAGTGATTTGTTTGTTTTGATTAAGTCAGGAGACGGTGTTCAAACCCGCAACCTGTAATAAGCTTAGAGGGTGGGGTTTTGACAAAGAGTTTGCGGAGGAACTGGTCTCGAACCGAGGTTTCTTGTTTGCCAGATGGGCTAGCCGCAGTGAAACAGCCGGTACGGATCATTCGGGAAGTATCGCGCGAAAGTAACAGGCTGGAGTAAGCAAC